TCCACTGCTGCAGTCTCAAGCACAGCTTTGGATTCAACTTCCTCAGCCTCGGCTTCACTTACCGACTCAGCTACACCTTCTTCAACTTCAGCTTCAACTTCAGTCTTAAATTTAGACTCAACTACTTCATCTTTTGGTTCTTTTTTTATTTCATTATTTTCTTTTGGATATATTTCTATTTGATTGACTTCTTTTTCTTGTGCGCCTCCGTCAATTTCTTCAACTCTGTTTTCTTCTTGAGATATTTCTGGAAGTGTGGTCGGTATTGCTTTTTGAATTCTTATGTCTTCGGTCCCGTTATTCTCTTTCTCAACGGCGTACCTCTTTTCCATTTTGTGTTCAATAATATTTGAAGCGTGCTCCTTTTGCGGTGATTCCAGCTCTTCCGCCATCTCAATTCTCACTTCATCTGTTAGTATTTTTTCCTCTGCTTTTGGCAGTTTTTCTTCCCTTAATATTTCTTTCTCTTTAGACTGATGTCGTTGTTCAAGCATATCTATTCCATTTACTACATTTGTTGCCATTTCTTCGCTTTTGACTGCCTTTTGTATCATTTCTTCCTGCACTTCTATTTCCTTTTGTTCCTTTCCTTCTAGGACCTTCGCTCCATCAGTGTCTTTCTCGTTTGGCTCAGCTGTCTTTTCGTATTTAGCTTCTTTTACTTCCTCTCCTCTTCCAACAATCATTTGTTGATTCTCCTCCGAAATCTCTAGCTCGTCTCCTCTAGTCTCATCAAGTTCAGCAGGCTTAACTGGCTTTCGACTCAACAATTCTTCCTCCCTACTCTCTTCTTCAGCATCTGGTATTTATTAATTAATTATCACATGCAAATGAGGTAAATTAAAGAGGGGGGGGATAATTAGGGAAAGGGGTGGAGAAAAAGAAAAATAAATTAATAATAAATCATTGATTTCGGTCATGGACACCGGTAGTAAAGCTTTACTAATACACATAAATCTGTGGAGGCATATTTTATAATCTAACATGCAAATAATGTTGTTGATGTCAAAATTGTCGTCGTCTTTTCTTTTACCTAGAACCTAGTTCTTCTGGAGATGCTGTTGGATCTGCCAAACTTGAAAGCTAACTCACTCCATGCATCAAGCATCTCCATTCTGAATTCTTGTGTTTAACGTCATGCCTTACTACTTAATATTAATTAAGTACCAAGTACAGAGTAAAGCAGACACTTACACTCAACCACTCCTCCATTTGTCTCCTCCGGATGAAGTTCGTTCTCCGAAAACTCATCTGTAATTTCACGCTCAGTGATGCGTTCGGTGATATGTTGGGTGGTTATTCTCTTCTTCACTACCGTACCATCTGGCAGTTTCTCCTCTACCTCCTCAACCTAAAAGGAAGGGGAACATTCAAAGTAGCCGATTTACGAGTTTTAATCAAGTGAAACAATCCGACAAGGCACTCGACGTTTAGAAGTCGAGCAGAAGTAGGTGGAGAAGCTACTTATCCACAATTGGTAGGTTTCATTTAGCAATGTTCTTGCGTTTACTTATCTAGGGCCTTGGAACCGAGTTATTGGTTATGCCACTTCTACTCGCTGTCGCCAATATTGGGTAAGTGAGATCAACACACATACCAACTTGGCAAACCGTCTACTTGCTATCACATAGTAGTGCGGTAAGTATCGGTATCTTAACGTACGAGAAAGTTGTACTAAATTTCCAACATTGTTGAAAGCAGGTAAGTTTTTCAATCTTTTACCTGCAAAAGTCCTTTAATGTGAATTATTAAATATGACTAATGAAACGAATAGTTTGCTTCATGCGATTGGACTTCTGAAGCATCTGCTTGAAATTTGTGGAGTTAAGATACGAAGCCATTGAACTTCAAGATTTAAGAAGTCAAGCCAATCCCCACCCGATGCCGATCACTTTACGCAGGTTAAGGAATGTGAATAAGCAGTTAATTATATTTTATAAATGGGGTGTGCGATAGACTTACCTCCACGTGGTGCACCCCGGGCAACGTATACTCATACGGCGAAAAAGTCTATTAACTGGCAGTTGACTTCTGACTTCAAACCACCATGGCCCCACTGTATGTTATCATCGACCACTTCCAAAATACCCACCTTACCTTTTCTCTGCCTTTGTTTCTGTCTACCTCTTTTGCATCCTTGAATCACTTTTCTGTTCCCCCTCTCGAATTTTTCCCACTTTGATATTCCTCCCCTCTGTGAAGCACGAAGTCAACTTAAGGGCCAATGAAGCCTGCCATTTGATATAAATAAATACTTTCTGCAAAATTGAGCACCCGCTCCGCTTCGTTACTCCACTGTAGACCAATGAATACCCCCCCCCGAACACACACGCACAAACGGGCACATACACATAGAACGAGTAAACTGTTCATAGACGCCTGCCTGGTCTGCGTTTAGACCCTACAAACCAAAATAAATTGAGCTTTATGACTCATCATACACAAAGCAGTTTCATATGGCCTGGTTTGTTAAAGATACAATTGCGTTATTCACAATCGTTTTCTCCATCAAATATTAATCTCACATCTCTTGATTTCCGCAAAATAGAATTGAATATATCATTGTAGAAAAAGTTAACTTCCTTGGAAGAAATTGAATTTAAAGTAATATTGCCCACTTTGAACAGACCCTCAGTACCGATGAAGTACACTAAAAATCATTTCCACATAGAAATTAGGTGCTTGAGTTAGAACAAAGTTAGAAACCCACTTTAACAATTTCTTCGGGTGGTTCAACGATATACTGATCATTATTATCAGCGGCCGTGGCATTGTACACCGCCTCTTCCCAGTCATGCGCCGACAGCGCCTGAATGGTCTCAGCAGTTTGAACTCGCTGTTTGACAACAGTTCCATCTGGAAGTGTCTCTTCCGTCTCCTCCACAAGGAAGCCTTCTTCTGTACGACCCTGGTGGACGTCGTGACCTGCCAGACCTGTTGGCGATGGTGACCCCTCTGCAGCAGCTGCTCTGTGGTATGCCTCCTCGAAATCTTCATCCGCATTGTCAAGCTGTTCCATTGAGGGGATTCTCAAATCATAATCTGGAAGGCAAACTCAGAAATTATAGCACCCACAGCACCAAATCTTATTAAGCCAACTCAGCTAATCTTGGCTGAGATGAGGATACTTAGACTAGCATGCATATCTGAGTGAACCAATTTCCTCCTACATGCGAGACTCCCGTATAAAACACGAATCTAATTAACTTTAGAGTTCATCGGGAGTGGGTTGTTTTAATTTTCCATAAACTCGTAAGAAATGAGTCATTGATAAGGGATATTGAATGTGAAGATGCTGTTGAATGGAAACATATTCTCCTGTAATGGGGTGTGCGATATACTTACCTCCACGTGGTGCACCCTGGGCAACGTATTCTCATACGGCAAAAAAGTCTGTTAACCTGCAGTTGACTTCTGACTTCAAACTACCATTGACCCTACTGTATGTCATATTCGACTCCTTCACAGTACTCACCTTACCTTTTCCCTGCCTTTGTGTCTGTCTGTCTGTCTCTTTTACATCTACGAATCGTTATTCTGTCCCCCCTCTCGACTTTTGTCACTTTGATGCTCCTCCTCCTTCTCTCTGTGAAGCCCAAAATCAGCTCCAGGGCTAATGATAACTATCAAAACGCCTGCCACTTGATATAAATAAATATTCTCTAGAAATTTCATTTTATCACTTGAACTTGGGTCACGGTCCCCTGTTGATCACGCGCAGTAACTTCTTTGGCTTGAAATTCTAAATCAGAGATTGAAATGGTCAATGTAATGCATCAAAAGCATCGAGTATCGCTGACTTCGTTAATGCGTTCAGCATATTTTTAGATGAGAGTCAACCTTATTTATAGGTGTGAACGAAATGCACCTTCCTATCGCCTTCCTCTTATTCTCTCTCGCCTAATTACTTAATACTTCGATCGGATCAAGTCTGGCAATCTACAAATAAATGCGAATAAGCTGGTTCTTGCAAAGTCACCAAGAGTAGCTTATATAAAGGCAAGAATCACGTAAGCACGAGATCTAAAAACAGTACAGACTTACCACCTTCAACATGCAATTCCTCAGTTAATTTTATTGCAGTCGGTTCAGTTCTAGCTCTGTCAACGTAGGGACTGTATTCTACTCTTGGTTCACTGTGAATTGGTTCAATCAGATCCTCAGTTATTGATGGCTCGTCGTGATCTATCAATAAAACAGGAAGCAGTCAAAGCAACTCGGATAAATCAATGATTCACATGATGACAGCAGTTAAATGCCTGAAATCGGCTCTATGTAACTCCGGAGTATATCTTAGGTGCGGGTAATCTCCACAGATTTCGTCTACGGTGTAATTCACAATAAATATCTAAGGGAATAAACTAATTTCAAATAAGTAGAGCTCATTTGTTTCAAAACTACCTCTTCCCAAAATGGCACTTTATCAACTTACTTCCTTAAATAATGCGGGTTAGAATCCGATTTTATTTTAACTTTTAGCGGATCAAGGGTGTTGGCTCATGCCGCCCCACCTCTTATCAGCTGTCAGCCTCAATAAAAGCAGGAAGAAGGATGAGATTTGGGTAAGAAATGGCCAACGTATTGATTTGGCTAAGTGATTAATTATCGCTAATTCTTTTGACGTCATTACGTTGCGATGACAGCTAGAAAGGCGTAGTTTAGCCAACCCACACGACCTCGTTTCATGAGAAGTTTGGAGGTGACCACCCAAGAGCCGAGGCTACAGAGCTCCAAAATAAGAATTCACCCCTTCCCCATTTTTTTATCAGTACGATCAATAAAGGTACCATAATAACAGTCTGAAAAAACTCTCATTGACCCGTCAGTGGATTTACGTTCAACTCTCATTCATATAAAGAGATCTTAATGTAAAGCAATATCTTTAAAAAGTACTTATGTAATGGAATGAGTACGATTTCATTTCCTAAGTTTTATCCCAGTCAACGGAAACAATGCCTGAATAGATTGACTTCTAATACTTCAATACATATACTAGCTCACCTGCGGATGATTTCGAGATGACAGACACAGTGTGCATGTCCGAATCAAGGCCAAGTGCTTCAGCCAATTCCTCTGCTGCAATTTGTCTAGCCACCGAGTCGGCATGAGCCACGGCTCCGTCGGGTGGCAGGAGGTTCTTTCTCTTCAAATTCTCTGAAGCAACCACAAAATCATCCACAACGGGTTGGATCTCATCTCTGGGTACTGCCATATCGTCCTTGGGTCTTTGTTGATATGAAATTTCTCCAGAACCATCGCGTTCCATGGGAATTGTGATTGACGGAGGACGTTCAGGACTGGAACTTTTGAAAGAGGAGGACATGATGAAGGGCACTTCCTCACCAGGTACACTGCGAACTGAAGCGGTAAATTATCGTGAATTAGAAGGGCCATTACTAAGTGCAAAGAACAGGCGTATAGTTTGCTCTTTTTGTTTTTGGCGGCGTTGAGAAATGAGCTTTTCAAAAGCATTAATAGTCATTTACTTTGGTTGGCAAAAAGTTAACTCTGCCTTTGTACAATAGCAACATATTTTTTGTCTTCCTCAAAATTAAGCAGTTGACTTATGAAATGGATGATGAATGCAATAGTATGTATTGCTTGCTAACTGAGGGTCTTTCTTTAGATTGGTTCTAGATCTGAAGTCAGTCCTTTGAGCTCTATTGTCATTCATGATAACACAGTTTTCTAAACTTAAATTTTAATTTAGTTTGTATGGCAGGAGATTCGGAAGCTCATAGAGAGGAACTAATGTAATCTGCAGGAAGCCGGTTAAGCTGTAGTCCTTGTGACGAGCTACACCAATTTGACCTCAAATAGCTGGAACACTTACCGGTGTTTTCCGAAAATCCGTTCAGGGCGGTAAAACGAAAAATTCCATTTCATGAAACAATTTTCGGAACCAAATAACCGCATTCGGAAAGACTCATCCTCCTGTATGAGGAGAGTCAAGCTTCACTCCCAAATAGAGAAAAGCTATAAAAGACTGTATTTTAACTTTTAACCCAAAGTAGCCGTCCATTCGAAGAATAATATCATCACTATGAAAGAAGCGAGTATCCAATTTGTAAAGTAAAGCTCAAATCAGAAATGCCAGATGATCTCCTATGAAGCCCATAATCGACTATGCATTCACCTAGCAGAGTCAGATGATATCAGTTCTCCCGACATTTCGATCACATTCATGATCCAAATTAAACACCGTTTGCACAAAGATAATACCGAACTTACGTTCACCATCCATAGCTGTTGGTGGAGGTGTCTCACTTTTCTCTGACTCCGTCGGAGATCTTGGTACATGAGTATTCACAACTAGAAAATGAGGGGTAAGTTGATAATCTCACATATGACTAAAATCAGAAAATCGTCAAGATCATCTTCTTACTGGCTTCAGCAGCAACTCCTACAGCTGGTGTTGGAGCAATGGTATGTTCAGTAGGAACTGGCGGTAGTTGTTGCTGCCTTGTGATGGCGCTGATAATTTGAATTGGATGTACCGCTGAAGGCGTCTTAGCTGATGTCATCTCGTCATCGATATGATGTACTCGCGTGGAGATAGGTCGGACAGCACTGTCAACATCAATGTTAGCTCTTTGCAAAGCGTTTGACATACTTGTAGCTAAATCGAAACCAAAACATTTCGGTATATGGGAAAAGAGGATAAGATCAGACAATTCTTCCAATCGCTTACTCAGATACACTGGAGAATTTGTGCCAGCAGCGGCTGATCGTTGCGTCCAAAGGGAAAGCATGTGTTCACAGCGTTGATGATCTGCTTCTTCTGCTGAAATGTTGTCAGGTAACGGTTCCTTTGCAACCATATCAATATCTTCTGGCGAGAGACCCAATTCTCGGGCCAGTTCTGGCCACCTTGCACCGGTTTTGGCAACTATCGCTGTTACAGCAATCTTAGGCTGTGCCATCGCTGCAGGCATATGAATTGAAGATGCGGATTCTACAAAAATTAGAAGTTGAAGTTTAGAGTCTAGGAAAATAGCAAATAAATTTAAAGAAGTTTGTATCGACTCGTGGACACTGACCATCACTTCCAGGCATATGAATTTCCAACTCAGTGATAGGTTGGCTGTCTGTTGCAGCCGAGTCATGCGGGTCTCGAAACGCACAGAATTTTCCAACCGGACTTTTCGACGAATCGGCAGGTTGGCGTACTCGTACAGGATAAGTCAATCGGTTCTCTTGGAAGGCTTGTACTACCAAATTCAGTTGATTAGCATGTGCTGGATATGAGGCAATATCTCCAGTGGTTTCAAGCCAGTAGGCTTTCGAATCCATGACTTCGGTTGGAGGACCTACTGCGACCAATTGGAACTTCTCCTGTTTTTCAAGCGTCTTTTCAGGAACATCGTCAATTAAGCAGACACATCGTAGTTCAGCATCAGCGGGATGGAAGACCTTTCGTCGGAAACGAGAGTTTGCTGAGGAGACAGCTTCGCTTGATGAACTTGTCTGGGCTGCAGCTTTCGCTTCATTTTCTTCAATTACCTTACGGTGTTCAGGAAGTCGGGCATAGACTGCAAACTTTCCAACATATGGTGGGATTATACTCTCCTGGTAGACTTTGCTTGCCATCTCCGTTACATCTTCAATTCCTTGCACGTCCACCAACCAGAGTCTGAAAAGTAAAATGAACTTAACTAAGCTTATAACTCCCATCTACAAAAGTGAAAGATGCTTGGAGTACTGACCTGGCTGAAACGGTGGTGGTGAACGAAATACAATCTTTGTGTCGTGTCATTGTTGTGGATCCAATGATATCTTCCCACGTTGCCGGAGCACATCCGGCAGTAATGGAACACAGCAGGTGTAGGCTCGGGGGAAGTGGATCTGATTTGTGGGTTCCTTTCGGTGGTGGTCTTGGAAGAGGCATTGTTACTGTGATTGGCTTGTGGAACTTTCGTCTGCGAGGTTCCAAGGTCACTATTGGTGAAAAGGCAGCTCGGTTGCCAACCATTTTGTTTACGATGTATTGTGGAATCACTTGGGCCTAAGCACAGAGGAACAGAAATTAAAAATTTTCCTTCTATTTTTAACGATTATGGGACGACGATTTCCGTATATGAGAAATTTACCTGGAGACCAACTTTGATTCGTTTCTGTAAAGCACCTTTGGGGAAGACAGCTTGAACTTTCGGAGCAACTGTTGAAGCCAGAACTCCGCCGTCAGGACCAATAAGTGCAATTTCTTGTCTGAATCGAGAGATGATTGCGAAGAAACGGGGAATATCTGCTGTAAGAATGCAGTGAATTCTACGCTCACGAAGTGAGCTCAATGGTTCCAGTCGACCTATAATAATTTCACCCCATAAGTACTCTGATTTTGGCTCATCTTCCAGATTCACTACATTGAGCAAGAACTAACCGAAAGCTGTTCCTAGGGCATCTTGTACGGATTGATTTGTGGCTTCTAGGGGATGCGACTTCCAAGAATCTCCATGATCACAACGCAGAGTAATGACTTCGCGATCACGTCCCTGAATTGATGCAAAGTGTGGAATTTCAAGAAGTATGGGTCCATCAAATTTCATGTTGCTGGGAGACATTTCAATGATTCTAAATTAAAACCGAAACACTTAATCCTTGGGATAATGAAACAGTTTTCAGGAATGAACGCCAGTTGACTAACCTGCAGGCAAAGGCGTCACCGTCATTGAGATGAGGTAGTCTTGATACACGATCTGGTCTCAGAAGACGGCAAATAATTCGTGTTGGGCTGGAAATGGCATTTGGTGGGATCAGGAATCGTAGATCCGGGCGCCGCTGGGCTTCAACGAAACCTCCTCGGGCATCAACAAGGAAGGATACAAGGAACCTGGAGAAAAGTACATGCGATTAAAAATTCATAGAGAATTCCCCGGGTTATTCAACACGTTAACCTACCCAGCTTTAACTGGCTTGCAAACCGCTTGAATTGGCTCTGCCTCAATCGCCTCCCATTCACTAGAATCAAGTGGTGTAGCTGCCGACAGTTCAACTTCAGATTTGCGCATTGAGATTGTTGAGGTTCCCTGGAGTAAGTCAATTCAAGTTAAGTGCAAGTCCATGGAGAAGGTAGATAAAGATGGGCATACTCTTTTTTTAAAAAATAGACATACCATAATTTCAGAAACGCGTGTCTGCTCTTCCATTGTGCTATCAAGGGCGCTGATTCTGATCTTTGGTTCGCCTGACAAATAAAAGGAAAAGAAGTCAAGATCCACACAATAAGTTCCAATTCGAAAGTGTGCTATTCTTAGAAGCTGAGTGGTAGGTGCGTTGTACGGTCTATACCTAATATGTGCAATTCTACAACATTTGTGGGTAACCACTGTGTGCACAGACAACAGGCAAAATTACTAGTGTCCCTAATTAGACTTCCAGGCCGTTTAAGCCGATTGGCACGAGTAGGCGAAATAGAAGGCCATTCGGTGTCCTCAACTGGTACTTTTAGTAAATAAATACAAAAAATGGTATTAAATAAAATGTAGAGAGAGGTTTAATATACCTTTGTGTGCGCGGGTGTACTCCATCTGCTCACAAAGCAGACTGTAGGAGGGTGATTTGAAAAGTGAAAGCTCATCGACTGAGCCTACAACAGCAACAGTGATCACAATTCGTGAAAGTGAAGACAAACGGGGGGTTAGTAAAGCATCAAAACAAGTAAGTTAGAAAACAAAGACGACACCTCACCTTTTCTCCCTTCCTGACGATGTGGACGCATTACAACGGGGGTGGAGACAAGTTGGTCACCTACATGCGAGACAACATTAAGTAGAGACGACAGCACACAAATAAGGGCTTGAACTTTCCCAAATCTTACTTGTTGCCTACCTATCTGTGGTACTGAAATTGAAATCTATCTAACACAAGACACCTGCATATCCTGAGAAGATGGTGGTGTCAAAGGATGTGAATATAATGACGGAGCACAATTTGTGACAAGAGGGTAATGCACACTGGACCATTAAGTGATTACTTTTAGATAATCAAGTGAGGCGGCAGATTCTGGGATCCCAATAAGATCTGCACCAGGTTACCTTCTCTCTATATACAAATCAGAGTTGGTGAATGTTCTTCTAATGGGCTTGGGGTTCCTTTTCATCTCTCAACTGGACACAAGTTAGGGCTGGTGTCATATTGACAGTCTCAATTCGATTGAAACTTGTAAGTCACCTGACCACTAGATTTCATAAATCTGATTTTTCCTCTTGGTTTATTTAGATATTAGACTCACGTAATGAGAAGTCTGGGCTGTTTCCTTGTTTACTTATTTTTCCAGCATCTATGACATGCTAAAATATGAAGTGATTTACAAATAATGATTTCAGCGTCTACACTTTCCTCTATAATAAATCTTGAATCGAGAACCCTAGCCTCGTTGACGTCTATCTGCTAGCACGAGTTAGGATCCATCAATGAAATAACTTATGGGTGGTGTTAGTGACACGTCAGCAAAGACAATTGTTTATTGTGAGTAGATATGAGTGCATTAGTGATTGTACGACAACATCATACAAGTGAACACACAACAACTACTGAATTGCCAAGAGTAGAATGTACACTCACTTTCATCTTCACTTTCGATCACAGCGACACGATCGAGCATTTGAGTGGGTGAATCAAGCACCATTGAACCATCAACAAGAGCTGGGTCACCCAGTGACAATCCGTCGGCGCTGGCACCTTCAAGGCTTGGCGAATCCCAGTCGGAAACTGATGTAGTAAGTCGAGAAAGATTTTCGAAGATATTCGAGTAGTGCTGCTTTTTGGCGATTTGTGCGGCCGTCCAACCTTGCTGTAATTCATAAAGTGATTGTCAAGGTTATTTTAATTGCTGTTCTACAATTACAAGGGTTGCTATTCTTTCTCGACGAAACAAACGCATTAGGTATATTGATTTGTTACTAGAATTGCTTTGTTTTAGAATTCTTCTTATCATATTTTCGAGATGGAAGTGACGTTCCGACTGGTAATTCTTAACCCACTTTTGGTATATTCCATTAATTCACACAATTTCTATACAGCTATCTAATACTACTACAATCGTGGGTACAGTGGTTTCTGTTATCCCTTGCCAAAGACTTTACATTCACGAAAATTCGAATGAATTAGAAGGTGAATCACGGTGATTCCTTTGCCCGAATGAAAGAAGAATGATAATGTAAATGGATATAGACTTGGGATTGAGTATACAAGGACCTAATCGAGAGCTATTTTGTGCAACGATTTATTTTCTAAAGCCCTGAACTAGAATATTCGAAATTCTCCTAAAAGGAACCCATTTCAAAGAATACGGAAGAACAAATGTTCCAACTTACCATTGTTCGACTATTAGGGTTAGCTCCATGACTAAGCAATAAATCAACAATCTGCGCGTGACCTTGTTGAGCTGCTAAATGCAATGGTGTGCAGCCCATGATTGTTCGACTATTGATCGATTCCTCTTTGCCTGGCTTTGAGAGCAGCAATTTGACAAGTGACAGGCTACCTCTGTGAGCAGCTTCATGCAACGGTGTGTATCCATTCTTCGTTTGTTTCGTCTGATCGGCCCCATGAGAAAGCAAGTATTCTGCAACGTCCACACGACCAGCATGTGCTGCCAGGTGTGTTGGTGTTAGTCCGTCCTGAAGAAAATCAAGGAAGCTAAATCATTCTACTGAATAATTTTAAGTAGATCTGCTTATAGAATGTTAAACTCACATTGGCACAGAGGTTAACCTGTGAGGAATAATCTTCCAGCAGACTCTTGATAATGCCAATATCACCTTCAAGTGCAGCTAGATGAAGAGCTGAGTATCCATTTTGAGTTACGGCATCGGGTGAAGCGTTGGCTTTGAGGAGCAGATTCACAATTGTTGGCGTACGCATTTTGGCCGCTAGGTGAAGTGGTGTGAACCCGTTCTTGCATCTGGCCGAAACATCTGCTCCGTGGGATAGCAAAACTTCAACTGCCTAAAAGTCATATTACATACGGCACTAGAATTACAGCCATAGAGTTCTATCATCTGTGAAGGCAGAATTTCTCGCTATTGGAGATCGAATTTAACCTTAAATTGCTTTAATAACTAAATTATGAATATCTATCAATTCGATATTGTTTTAGTTACAAATCTGATATCAAATAAAGCGAATAATTAGAATATAACGCCTTAATGATTATATAGAATAATTGGAAAATAATTTGATCCCTTACCTTTAAAAGGTAGGAAGAAAAATTTAGGAATTTTTTGTGAAAACCTGAAAATTAGTAAAAATGGAATGGCCCGAATAGAGCTTATAGCACTACGAATAAAGTTGGTCCAGAAACCGTTTTGTATAAAACTCAAAATCAATAAGAGCAAACTTAAAGGGGTCAAAGAGTCTCAATTCACTTGTTCTACGGTTTCAAGTTGGGGTGTGCGATAGACTTCCCACCACATGGGGCACCCTGGACAACGTATACTCATACGGCAAAATGGTCTATTAACTGGCAGTTGACTTCTCACTTCAACCTACCATGACCCGACTGTATGTCATATTCCATCACTTCCACAGTGCTCAACTCACCTTTTTTTCTTTGCCTTTGTGTCTGTCTCTTTTGCATCTGTGAGTCACCCTTCTGCTCCCCCTCCCCACTCTTTGCAACTATGATGTTCCTTCCCTCTGTGAAGTCCAAAGTCAACTAAAGGGCTACTGATAACTATCATAAAGCCTGCCATTTGATACAAATAAATGAATATGAAGCAACTCTCTCATTTAGTTTTGCATTTTCATATCATTTCCTGAGTTAATATGACAATAGTAGCATAAGGAACTTAAGGTTACCTAACGTAAATTGTTTGAAAGTGAGTTTGATGTTCTACAATACTAGGCTTGTTAGGACAGCAATTCTATTTGATAATAATTCAGAATATAGCACGTTGAATATAGCAAAATACGATTAACCATTTATATTACTTTCCTCAATGAGTCCAGTAAATGCGACATTTCATATGCCGAACCAGGTTCAATAAGGTAACCTCTAAATTCAAGGAGTTCAACATTTTGAAATAATATATGTCCAGTTGCCGAAAATCAAAGAAAAGTTCTTTAGCATACATAAAGTAGTTAATTACATATCTAATAAATGCCAAAATGACTTGATAAGAAGAGGGCACTACTCATAATAGGTCAAATGCAGGCTACGCCATCTTAACGATACTTCAGGCTCTGTACTTAATGACCAACAAGAGGAATGGTAAAGCCAACCAATCAGGGCAAGGCACTAATAAGTCGATCGATAATCATACTTACTGCAGCCTGGTGATATGCTTGTGTATAGTCGCGCGTTCGGCAGCGCAATGTGATCTTGTCATGACTAAGCGTTAAAGCAATTTTTTTCACTTCCATAAGGACAAGGGCGTGGGTTTCATCATATTCATGATTAACAATCTTCAATAGGTATAACACGATCTGCTTTCCATTTTGCACAGTCTAAATAATGCAAGGTATGACTTGTTTCATTAAAGAGAAATAAATAACTCCATCTTTATTTTCAAACAAGGTGGGGGGGG